ACATTCTTCGGATACATAGTGCGTATCCAAATTCTAAAACAGTTCTCGGTCTTTCCATGTATGATGGTGAAGGAGATATCAGCCATTTCTACGGAATTTAAAGTCGTACCAACCTGAATCTTTTATACAAGATACTAACTACCACAGTGAGATATTCACTTTAGGATCCATCGAAACAGAAGATTCAGTACACAATCCCCTGCCTTTATAAATATCGCATCCATCCCCTCATATTTTTCTCTACAATTGTATACCCTTCGAGAGCAGTGGGCCCTAAGGACTGGATTGTGGAGGGAGTGATGTAGAGTAGAATTCCAAAGAGGTTTGCTTCCTATTGATAATATATTCATACCCACTGTCAGTTTCAAGACGTGAAAGTAGAAGCGCTCAATTCATTTTTAAAGATGTTACAGTCATCAGAATATTATACGGTGGTTTCCAGTCACCACTCGCTGTCTTGGAGGGTCACTGTCATAACTCGTACAGATTGATGTACCAATATCTCATGTGTACTTTTGAGCGATTTCGAGATCGCGGTCGATTCACATCCATGTGATCCCGATCTCAAGCAATATCTGTACAGGTCTATCCTCTTCAAGAGCACACCCATGTTTAATGTCTGCAACTATAGTGAATACATAACATCATTTATAATCTACCTGTTATAATATCAATCTCATCTCATCACTCCTCACAAACTCCAACATGCCATTCTATCCGCGATACAGTTTCTATCTGCAAAGTGAGCTGTATACAGTTGATTGGATACCGAATAAGCATCGCGTGAAATCTTCACCTGACGCGGATTTATCATATAGTACATACAATTTGCTCAATCCAAAGTCACTTTAAAACTTAGACTTTAGCTCATCTATTCCGTTCCAGCTCTCCTCGTTCCCAGGCCCATCACACCGCTACAAAAGCATATGTAACACACATTAATCACCACTGCTCTAAACAACAAACAAGAAGCAAGAGAGATAGATCCGTCAAGCATGCGCTCAGAAATAACACCTTCCTCTCCACTTCTTCAAATGTCCCCATGTGTCGGGGAAATCGCCATACTCCCTTGTTCCCAACTTCTCAAATCCAACATGATCAATCCCCATCCTCACATACCATTCCCGCACCGTTATTACTTCACTTCACTCGTATCACTGCCAACGACCTGTCAGGCTAGTGAGTCCTCAATTAACTCAAAATCCTGTCGCTGTCTGTTCAAGCATTAGGTCAACGCCCGCTACCTATCTACGCACTGATATCAGTAAAATATTTGATACTTGATACTTTGAATACTGCCGCCATGTGCCATACATATATCACAGCATGACCAAGAAAAAGAAAAACAGATGATCTCTTACAGTACCGACTAAACACTGTTCCGCCGACTACTTTGTAATCCTATCCCTCATCTAAGCTCATGGGACTACATCCAAAGAGTTCGCTTATTCAACAGCCCTGGCCCCATTTTCTTTCCTTCAAGATTGCATGCTCTTTGTTGCGAAATATTTACCACTTCTCACTCTGTCCTTCTCGTTTAAAAAAAAATCTTGCTGCATTTCGCAAAACCTTCCAGCAGCTGAAAAATACCCATTTTCTTGAGGTCTAGCCTAATTTCCCCTTATTTCAGTCCCCATGTGGAACCAGAACTTATTCTTTCGGCTACAGTTCCGTCTATTTCGCAATTTCTTAAACCCGATAATCCCTCCATTTCATATTCCCTCTTCTAGCTTTATGAACAGGTATCACATCACGGCGTTTGTCATCTCAATCCTTTGATCTTAAACAAAAGCCTCATAATAGTATTGTCTTATCTCATGTATACACGCTCCTGTGTAGCTATGACGCCAAACATTTACCCCAAGAAGCGGGCAGTAGATAATCGCCATGTAGCACCTTCAACCAGCTAGCCATTCATTCAACCATCGCAATGTTGGAAATATCAACAGAATTGATTCCTAAGCACTCCATTCGATTTACCCTTTTCCCACCCAGCCCAAGCGCCTATGATTAACCAAAAAACAGTCCCCGAAGAAAGGATAGAAGATCGATCTCCAGACTCAAACCCTACAATTCATCCCCCATCTCCCTCTCCAACCCCACTCCGCCCCTTTCTTCCTCTAGATTGGCGATCAAAGCATCCAAACCCTCATCACTAAGTCCGCCTTCTCCCTCATCAACCCCTAAATCCCTAACAATAACCCTCTTATAAAGTTCTCCCTCATCTCCGCCACCCGCAACTCCAAGTGCTCCAATATATTCTCCTACCAACGCCCTTCTCCTCTCAATTTCCTCTTGAAGCTGTTCAGCTACCATGATCCTCTCGTTTTCACCTTCCTCCAAATCTGCATTTCCATTGACTTGGCCTCCTCCATGACCATTGATTTTGGAGCCTTCATGTTGCGTGCGGGAAAGAAGGAGAAGTTGTTGTTGTCGCTCCACTAGACTCTGAACTCTTTCCTGTAAACCGACTAGATGCGCTTTTGCGGCAATGGAATTTTCTTCGCCCTCCTCTTCTTCCGCCAATTGCCTAGCTTGTTCTCTAACTCCCGCTAATTCCATCTTCACCCCTTCTAAAATCCTCTTACTATCTGCCTCCGCATTTTCTTTTTCTGCCAATTCCTCATCAAAGCTACAAGCTAATGCATGTAACCTCTCCAGTAAAATCGGTTCCGCATTATTCTTAAGCGTCATTGCTGCTTCGGAAATGTGAGCAACCCCTCGAGCATTTTCCTGTTCAAGATCATCATAGTGAGAAATGTGACGTGCCGAGTCTGGTGCAAAAGGCGAAGAAGAAGCGGCTTGCTGGTGTCTTTCAGATCTACGAGAGGCATTCAGGTCTTGAATAATTTCTTCGGCCGTTTCGCCCATATCATTCAAAATATCTGTTGAAGCACCACGACCCATCAAAGCTCGTACACATTTGCGGGCTTTATTTTTGGCAGCAATGTGAATAGCTGTATTTCCATTAATATCTCGAGCATCTAGTAATCTCTGAACCTCATCTGGATGATAGATTTCGATAAATTTTTCTAAAAGAACATCCAGATAATATTGAGCGCATCTGAACTTTTGCTTCATGTTAGTAGTCGCCGCAGCATGATGAAGAACTGTAGCTCCACATGAGTCTACTTCATTGGCAGTACCAATCAATTCTTTGACAATCAGAGGAAAATTCTGCTTGTCATAAGAATTTGTGAAAAGGACTGATCTAATGAGTGGAGTTTCTTGACGACTATTCCGACAAGTTGTATTCGCACCGAATCTCTTCAGTTGTTTTAATATATCCACGTCACCTATTGATGCAGCCCAATGTAAACCTGTATGACCATCTGTGTCGATAATGAAGTTGGGTTCGAAATTTATTGGTGGTTCAGGTCTTCTGTCCATCGAGTTCGCATCGGTAGGAGGTGCCATGAAATAATCCAAGAGTTCATCAGCCCACATAAGATGAGCTTGTGCGCGAACATCCACTGGATCATCTTCATGAAAATCATCTCTTTCACCTCTTTTGCGCTTTCGATGTCCCGTAGGTGGTTGAGACATATCGAATCGATCATCTTCTGCCATATATGAAGCGGAAGCGACTGTAACATCATCTGGCACACTTTCATCGTCATTTAGTTGAGTGCTAATGTTATCGTAATTCTCTTCGACTTGACGGGCGACCGCTGCTTGTTGAATAGGTACCGGTTCTGTGCTGTTAGTACAATCTACCAAAATTTAAACCGGGAAACTCACTCGCTCCCCATTTCGGTACTGCTGGTTTCTTGACCTTTGGCTTATTCGTGGCATGTTTTGGTGCTGGAGGTGGACTAAATTCACCAGGTGTGTATTCGAAGATCTCCCGAAGTTTTTCGTATATATTGTTTCTTTGTGCCAAAGATTGACCTTTCTCGAGAGGGACCCAAGTACCTGTATGATTTTAGTCTTGCTAAAATCTTACGTTTCTGGTGCATGCTAACCTTGATATTTTCCATATCCACCTTGAATCTTTTCATGTTCTTCCTTTTGAACCTCTCTTTCAAGAATTCTTGTTCTGGCAGGTTTATCGAATCCAGCAGCTTTCAATATATGTGTCGCATTGATCCAATCATCTTGCCGTCTTCGCATTACTGTGCAAGAGTTAGTGCCGTGATGTGTAGAGGCTGGGAGTAGTGTTTCAATTACCATGTTCCTTGAGAGCCTCTCCGAACAAGTACTCGTACACCGGAACCTAATCAGGTCAGCGACAAGAAACAAGCAGACAAAGTCGAGCGCATCCGAATAGGTATACATACATTGCTGTAAGTAGCAGAGTAAATCCCTGGTCCAGATTTGGCACCAGTGTTGACCATATTGTCACCTTAAATGGGTCCCTGTCAAATGGAGGGGTTTGCGAATGTGCGAATAGCAAGTGGATGTTGAGATTGTTCAATACCCGCCCGCACTAAGCAAATGTGTAAATATGGAGAGCGATCACAATTATGTTGCAAGTATCTGCGCTAGATGAATTCAGGGCAATTGATCCCGATTCTTGATATAAATGCACAGGACGAGGTTGAGAAATTGTAGTAATCTGAGAAATTGATTGTGGGAAGACGCGACGATGTTCAGGATGACGCGAAGCGCGTTGATTCTGGACCGATATCTAACCGAATGTAGGAACAGCCGACGCTGTTTTAACGAGTCCTCAATATCATAAAGTAAATCTGATACAAGCTATGTGTGGGATGAGACAAGATCAATCAATGTAGAGTAGCGTAGTGTCTGGATTTTCAATAGGGCTTGATTTGTGTCTTTTGAAAGGTTTAATGTTGTAGAAGGACATTATTTTTTACAGTCCAAACTACAATACCGCTCAGTTGGAGATGAATCACAAGACTGCAATCTCTAATGGCTTCTCAGTACTGAATAGCATTATGGGCATGAACTTTGAGTGGTTCTTTGCTTCTTGTCTTGTCATCTACGAAAGCAACCGTATATCTCGGCGCTAGTCTAAAAGTAAATCTACTCTATGCCTATACGCCAAACAGTGCCTTCCTAGTATCATAATCATACTTCAAATCCAAATGCCAATAATTTGGTGTATCTGCTTTACAAACCTCCCAAGCCTCATCCAAAGCTTTCACTACTTCTTCGGGCAATGGTCCCTTCTCACAATCCTTGAGATTTGAATCTAATTGTTCAATACTGCTCGCTCCCATGATAATTCCATCATCCCCATCCAAAACATTCAGTGCGCTATGATGTATACACCATCGGAATGCAGTCTCCACCATTGTCAGATTGTGTTTTTGAACGACTGGTTCGATCATTTTCAATGCGGCGAAGTTCGATTCCTTCCAATAGCGTTTTCTGTACATTTCGCCTAACTTTCCCACGGCATCGCTATAACGTCCACTGGTTGGAATCTCTGATGACTTGTAGGCTCCTGAAAAGAGACCGCCTGCGATGGGGTTGTAAATGACGACAGAAATACCGTAGCGTTTACAGCATGGAATGAGTTCGGAGGCCAGGGAACGGGTAATGGCATTGTACATTCCCTGGTATACTGTTGGCCGCACCCAATTGTTATATTTGCAATGCATAACTATCTCTGAAACTTCAAAGGCCGTAAAGTTTGAGAGTCCTAGGTTGACGAATTTGCCTTGCTTATGGAGTTTGTCGAGAGCAGCTAGTGTCTCTGTAAAAGGAGTTGCGCGATCCTATAACTCACTATCAGTACTCGTTGATATTTCGAATGATTGAGATGAACCAACAGCAGCATGCAAATAGAATATATCCACACAGTCGGCCCCCAACTCTTTCAAACTCGTCTCGAATCTGTTTGTTATTTCTGCTTCTGTATGCAATCCCGCTTCTGTTGGATAGACTTTCGTGGCCAGGGTTAAGCCTCTTTCTTGCCATTTTGCTTCGCGTGTGAAAGCTTCTTGTTTCCCTCCAACATATGTACGTGCGGTATCGACTTCATTGTACCCGGCGCCTTGAAAATGATCGAGGAAGGTATTGTATTCATCTAATGAGGTTATACGTGCGCCAGTGGATGGGTCTGGACCAAAGTTCATGAGACCAAGAATTATTCGAGGTTTGGGGTTAGTGGCTATGAGAGGCATCTTGAGGATGTGGATTGAAAAGGGATAATGTTTCTTGGGTGACGAGTGTAATAGTATTTTTGGTCTTCAAAAGTCAAACTGAACTTGCGCACATAAGATTAGATATTGCGTATGAATATTGTATGAACATGAACACTCACATTCCTGTACAAAGTAGATAACAGTAGTAAAGAAGATTGGATGTTGTGACGCCATCTTGTTCAACCCCGCATCACTCACCCCACCTTCATCATCACCATCACCACAAATACCGACGTGCCAAGTAATACAGTGGTGATACATTTGATACACATCTGGAGAGGATTCAGATTCATTGAAGCCGGGGGTGAGAAATGCCGGTAGAATCTCAGGTTTGGATGAGACGAGTTGTGTTGTATGCATGCAATATCATCTACACGATATTGGATGAACTCGGAAGGTTTCTTTGATGATAAGGTCGCTGGTTATGCTTTCTCCTTTCTCCTCGAGTGCCATGCCATGATTAGAGGCCGGCGGGTTAGATGATCTTTCCCGTGCAAGCTTGTTATTCTCGAACAAGAGTCAATGAAAGTGTGATAGAAGCAGTTGTTAGGTAGGGGCGGTAGTATCAGTGTCAGTATCAGTATCAGTATCAGTATCAGTGTCAGTATCAGTGTCAGTATCTCGGTAGTAGTAGTAGTAGTCTCTTCTGAGCGTAACAATGAAAATAGTCCAAAATCCTAAAACACCCAACCAACAATCAATCACCTATGAATACCTACCTGCCTTTCCTAGGAATTATCTATCCATCTCTTCACAAGCCCACATTGAATTCGAGTAACCACACTTCTTCTTCTGGTCATACTCTGTATGCCATCATCCCCTCTACCTACCTCAACCTGCCTTTCAACCCACAGCCTCCCATTTGACCATCCTACCCACCCACCACACCACTACCTATTTATACATCCAAGATTTGAGATCTCTTTGGTAACTTGCACCACATCATTAGCCAGCAGATTAGATCAAATTAATGAAATCGAGGTCTTTTGATTCGTTCCCGTGGGGTCAACATCTATCTGATATCTGATAATTCTTGATTCAGCCAACCACCAACCACCAACCTTCAGGGTCTTCTCCAGGGTCTTCTCCAGGGTCTCCCTCACTCTCTGCTTCATATTCCCTATCCACTTCTATACTCGATTCTTACGCTTTACGCTTTACGCTTTACGCTTTGCCTTTCCCTTTCCCTTTACCTTTACCTTTACTCACGACACCAATTACAAGGGGCTCTCACTACTTTTATGACTGGACGCTGCAACTACATCCTACACGCTACACTACTTGCTACCTAGGTGGACACTCTATCCAGAATCCAGAATCCATATCCATATCCACATCCATATCCATATCCAACCCCATATCCAGATCCATTTGCTTAAAGAATGACGACAACAACTTCGCATTGATTGGTCTTCAAAATTCTCCTTTTACAGTTACAGCCAACTTTATGCAATCAATCCCAATTTATTATCTACTTCACCTGCGATATAGGTGTGATCGTTAAAATCGCCAATAAAAATTTATTCCACGCCAAAATTCCGAAGCCAACCCACTCACGAAATCCACCCTGTCAGTCCTGATTCGAGATTGACCATTTCATATCTTATTTGATTATTCCGATATCAACCACCCTCCTCCATACTTAAACATATCACTTCACCCACCTGAATCGCATGTATGTCTTATAGGAATCACCAGACATCCTCCAGTACACATGAATTAAATTCAGTAACCGAATTACAAAACAACTCGTGGAAGACCTCCAATCCCATATCTGGAAATTCTTCTAGGGTATCCTCTCGCAGTCCTACCGTTCGGACTCACGACTTCGCACATAAGACACAAGAAGGGGAAGTGTCACCAGTTAGTCCATTGATCGACGAACAAGAAAATTCCGATTTGGAATCCGACGACGATATGGAAGGACGAAGACCAACATTACATCGTCCTACAGATGGCCGTTCACATCAACCTTTATTACACAAAAACGATGATCCCGAGAGGGGGAGGTTAGGATACAATGCTTCTCAAGATCCACCCGAACGTCCTACATTTTCAAGACGATCTACTATGCGAAGTCGTAGTCCGGATACTCAAGCAAAATTAGATACGAGAAAGAAATATACATATGCAGCCTTCTTTTTGGGGTTGAGTCTGATTAGTTTCGTTATACAAACCGAAACGGCTGTGTATATACAACATCAATTAGGGTGGAATAAAGCATATTGCATGTTGTAAGTAGTGGCGCCTAATCCACAAAATTTCAAACAAAACTAAATGGATGCTCTAGATACTTTACTCACGGATCATGGTCGTTACTATGGCCTACTCAACTTTTAATATTGCGATTACAAAAATGGAAAATGCCATGGAAGACATTCTGGAGAAGACACGTATATCTCATTCGAACAACCGCACAAATGGTAGAGTCCGGACAACTAGACGTACCGCGAGGCCAACGATCCCCAATTCCATATATGCTCAGAATGACCGCATTCGTTACATGCGCTCTCACAGTTGCTGGTGGATCATGGTACGTGGCAGTGAATTTAACATCGCCATCTGATCTCACGGCTATATACAATTGTTCGGCTTTCTTCGCATATGCATTCAGCGTTCCCTTATTGAAAGAACCTCTCAGATGGGATAAATCTTTTGCGGTTATGGTTGCGATTGTTGGAGTTTTGATCGTGGCATATGGAGATTCTACGCCCACGAAACATGGAGGAAAGTCTGGAGGTTCAGTGGGTGGAAAGCCTGGGGATGAAGATGACGAAGCATCAAATAGAGTTTTGGGAAACCTTGTTATTGGTGTTGGCAGTGTTTTGTATGGTTTCTACGAAGTTTTATACAAGAAATTGGCTTGCCCCCCAGAAGGAACAAGTCCAGGTCGCGGAATGATATTCGCAAATACATTCGGCTCATTAATCGGCTCATTTACTCTTCTCGTTCTCTGGATTCCCCTCCCAATTCTTCATCTCACTGGACTCGAAACTTTCGAACTTCCCCACGGCGAAGCAGCTTGGATGCTTGCCATTTCTGTCCTCGCAAATGCGACTTTCTCTGGAAGCTTCCTGGTTTTGATTAGTCTTACAAGTCCCGTTCTAAGTAGTGTCGCTGCACTATTAACAATATTCCTTGTCGCGATTGTGGATTGGGCTTTCACGGGGGTACCATTGAGTCCGGCAGCTATTTTGGGAGGATTGTTGATTATTGTGGCATTTTTGTTACTAAGTTATAGTACATTTAGAGAAATGCAGGAGGAGAGAAGAAAGAGAGAAGTGGATCTGAGTGACAATGATTCGGATAGTGATAAATTCGATGATTAGACAGAGTCCTTTAGGCGGACGTGGTTTATAAGACGGGTAGCTTCTTTATATAGGATAGGATTGCATTACATTTGGATTGGATGGATCCATTTGGGTTATAGGATTGCTTTTGGGTGCGTAACCCAGGTATTGGGAACAGCGTACAGGTATAGGCCAATCGTATGGTAACTTAGAGTTTGCATCTAGATGGCGCAGGCGTTTCTGGACTTCATATCGTACCTTCCAATGGATAATTGATGGGTTTTTGTTTCTGGTCAAATTACTCTCCGGGGCTTGCATGTGAGATTTCTATTGTGTTGTGTATGTGTATCTTTCCAAAATTTAAAAATGTCCCGCTCTCTAAATATTCTGAAGCGACTTGTTGGGGGAAGGAGCGGGGGGAAGGAGCGGAGGGAATGAGAAAGGGGAAGTGAATTTTTTTCGACTCTTCCTTACCGACGCTGAAGAAAAGAAGAAAAGGTAAAGAGAGAGAGAAGAGAATATAGCACAAATACCGCATTAGCCAGCCTGATTGCTTCACCGCTGGATAGTGTGTGATGGATGGAGTATTAGCTTATATAGTCAGTCGTTCAGTCTTAACGAAGAGTTCTATATACAACAATGAAGTAGAAATTTATACCGGTACTTGGAGACATATATTTCCGCCCCAAGAGCCATAACTGAATATCATATATACATCCAATCCAATCCAATCATCCCACCCAACCCCCCTCTTCATACTTCTCCGTGGCATTCAACCCTGCTCATGGCTCCCCCGGCCAAATCTCCTCGGCCAATCTCCTCACCAACTTCAATTTCTCCACCATATCGTCCCTCTCCATATTATTCCCATCCGAATGACTCGCAAATCCACACTGGGGACTCACACCTATCCTCTTCAACGCATCTTCCCTCGTCTCTGCATTCCCTTCCGCGATCTTATCAGCCGCTTTGAAAACCCGCTCTTTCAATTCCGCTAGAGATTCCATCTTGGGGAATTTACTCGTGACCAATCCGAGTATCACATTTTTATTCTTGGGGAGGTGGGCAAGAGGTTCGAAGCCTCCTGCGCGCGCGGTGTCGTATTCCAGATAATAGGTGTTGACATTTAGATCTTGGAATAGTTTGGTCGCGATCACATCGTACCCTCCTTCGGAGAAATGTCTCCCGTTTACGAAATTGCCTCGACAGAGATGGATGCCCACGTGCATATCTTCAGGGCGATCACGCAAACACTCGTTGTAGAGTCGGATGTAGGAATCGAAGAGGGCGGTTGAATCTTCGCCGTCTTGTTTGAAACCCGCGAGCATTTTCTCGGAGCAGAAGTAGGCGAGATTGGGGTCGTCGATTTGGATATTGCGCAGGCCGGCGGAGTAGAGGATGCGCAGTTCTTCGCGGTAGGCGGTGGCGATGTCGGTGAAGTATTCGGTGTCGGAGGGGTAGATCTCTGGGGGGTATGCGTGTCCGGTTTTGTAGCGGAGATGATACCAGTTTGGAGCTGCGAGGGTGATTTTTGCTTGGCCGATTTTGTCGGCGGGAAGGAGCTCCTTGAGGTAGGTCCATTGGGAGAGGTAGGTGCTTCCGATGTGTTTTATTTTGCCGGTGCAGTAGACGGATTCACCGGGTTTGTGACCTTCTTCGAGGAAGGCGTCGATGTCGGGGACGTAGCGGCGGAAGGATTCGAGAGGGGGGTTTTGGATTTCTTCGAATCCTTGGAGGCCGGGGAAAAAGGTGCCCCTAGTGTTGAAGATTAATGTGGATTTTGGTTGTATTATGTTGCATTGAAGGGTGAGGAGAAAAGAAGGGGGAGAAAGAAAGGGGGAATGGAATGATATGTAGCAACATACCAGAACATATGACGACGATATTCTCCATCTGTTACAGCGTGAAAACCCAAGTCTAACTGTGCTTGGACGATTTCATTGATAGACACATCTTCTACTTTTGTCAAATCTTCTTTTGTGACATTACTCTTTCCATTGTCGAGAGCATGTTTGATGGATAAGAGTTGCTCTGGACGAAGCAGAGATCCAAGATGTTCTGCTCGGAAAGGAGGGCTGCGATGAAGCTTCTCGGAAGACATGATTGAGGTAAGTAAATGTTTTAGCTTGAAATATAAGTGAGGATAGTAATTGTATTTGTGTAGTAATGAGTACGAGGTATGAGCTGTATTTATGTACTCATACCAGGCCAGCTGTTGGACCCTCACTCAAGCAACTTCCATAGAATGCCGCGACGACTTGTTCAACTGCCCCTCCCCAACTTTTCATCATCCCCGCAACAATTGGAGATCTAATTGTTGATCTCGATATAAAGTAGTTTAGTTCCCCGCTTGGTGATACCTTAGTAAGGGCTAGCCATGCAGGTCTGGATCGGATGGACTTGCAGTCAACTTCTTTCCATGACATATAAACAAGCCGTCTTGCAGAAATTGCAATTGTAACTCAGAGATGGGTTAGCAATGGTTGTTGTAGACATGAGATGATTCAAATAAGTCATTAAGATAGACTTCTTCTAATTGTTCTTATTGGAATGTGAATTGGATTCCAGAAATCATCAATACGTGTAAGTCTCTCCCCTCTTAGTAGCTGGCCCACACGGGAACGAACTTCCCCCCTCATTAGTGGCGAACGATATATGTCATATATCTGTAAGCAATCCCCCCTGTTCTTTGAAAGTGCCGGTTAAGTGAATCTACCTACCTGGTATCATCAATTACTTGCATATTCGATCACACGCTTACGATATATTTAGATAATACCTTGGAGAGATTTGAGAGGCTGTATTCCGTGAATGGCACCCGTTTCCTTATCAGAGGTCCAGGAGAAATCCGAAAGCCGTTGCTGACATACATTTCCTTTTTTGGGTATGTACCTAGGTAGGTAGCGATTTGCTCCATTATTCAAATCCACAATTCAATTGACCGAACTATTGGAAACAGCCTGTTCAATTCAATAACCATCTCAAGTCTTCATCCTTTCAACCTCTCACATCCACGAAAATGGCTTCTGACCTTCCTCCTTCAAATTCAAATGGTCTTGAGGATCTTACCATTGGCAACAAATCAACAGAAGTACCGTCAATTCAGCCTCAGACGAATCAATCAGGAGATACCCTGATATCCCACGTTACTCCACATACAATTCCTGGAGCCGTTACGAAGCCAGGTCCCACCATTGAAGATCTTCCCAATGAACTTCTAGTCAATATTTTCAGTCATTTGGATATAGAACCTCCATCATATTCCCATACAACACTTCATGATGAGCCAACTTTGGAAGTTACAAGCTCCGAGGTCCAAGACCTCAAGAATTGCTCTCTAATTTCGAAACGATGGAGACAAGCTACCTTACGTTTACTATTCAAACACACACGATATATCTTGAGATATTCAGAAGATGATTATAGACCCATTCTCAATGATTTAACAGGACCTTTTCGTCAATTTATCCGCAGAGAATCTTTTGCGGATATCGTGTCAAGCTTTACCTTGGTAGTTCGGGAGAAAACCATATCAAATCGTCATGATGGCCGACCTCGATTATGTGAATTCGATGGTTTTTGGAAACGACTCTTTAACACGATTGATCCGTCAACGGTGTTGATAGCTGCGCCCGTTGAGGCGCTTGCTTCTTTGACTTCATCTACCATTAATGACGTGGATTCATGGGTTTTTGACATTGAATGTCACTATTTGCGATTGCAAAGACCCGAATCCAAAGAATTAGTCCTTACGGAGATTGAGGTTTTGCCTGAAGAAAGTGGTCCCACCAGATTTGACCCTTCAGTTCCTGGAACACCACAAAACCCAGACCATACTTTTGACGATCGCTTGCACTATGCTGGTCCTTTGGGTAGTTTTTGCGCCAAGTCCTCCGAATTCTTTCAAATTAGATCTTGGACATCCTTACTCCTAAATGAAGGATCAAATTTAAACGCTTTCAAGACAGATAGGTGGTGGGAATTGGAGACTCCATCGGTAAGTAGATCACCAATATAAAGTGGAGGTGTTCATCTAACTTTCAATAGATACTACGAAATCTTGTCGGAACTCAATCAGGTACTTTACCTTTGATCAATCCTGGCATTCGTTCCATGAGATATATTGCTATATTTCCAATAACAGCTCAATTCGAATGTCTCGCTCAAGGATTGCCAAGACTGGATCATTTATATTGTCAACTGGTACCACGAAATGATGCTTTGGAAGACGAAGAACTAATGAAGAAAATTGATGTGGATGATCTTTGGATGGAGAGGAATAATTGTTATGCTCAATTGATGCGAGAGATGTTCAACAATCCACCCGAAGGGAATTACAGATATCTGAAGACTTTCGAGTCAGGAGATGCTGCAGATACAGATGCTTGGCATATGGCAGTAGAGTTCGTGAAGCGGGCTGGAGGAGGATGGAAGATAACAGGTGATGGAGTATTTGAAAGAGATACGGGGATTGAAGAGAGTTCGTCTGATGCACCGAACGCTTCTCCATTGTTAGTTACTTGAGGGAGTTTGTGAAGAAAAGCTGATCAGTATTAGTCCAGACGAATTGTATAGATGGGCATGGAATGGGTTGACCAATGTACCCGTTTCACCGGTACCGTGGTATCGATGATTGGTGTTGAAGACGTGAGGTATATTGGGTACATGAAAAACAGAGAAAGATTCAAGGAAAGGGATATTTAATACTATGGCCCATGGAAGCATAAGAACAATCATCCGTAACAAAGGCCAGGAAATGAATACGGTTTATAGAAATTTATAACAATATCAAGCGGCACAAATTACAAATTCTACCATAGTGAACCAAAAGTATAAAAATCGGCAAACGTCAATGGTCCTCATGCCCATGGTATAATTTGTCTCACCGCCTTAATGATTCTGCCACATCGACTCAATATCAAGCTCCAAACGCGATAACCTCAACCTCATCTACTTCACTACCATGTAACAATCATGTCCCGCAAAGCGCCCAAAGGCGAATATATTGAAACCGTAAGCTATCCTCACCTTGCTATCATGTTCTCTCCCCGCTTCAACCTTGACTTCCTATCTCATCTTCAATCCAAGTACTAACCCCTCCAGGACACCGGCAACAAAGTCTCCCGTCGTTCCCAAATCATCGGCACAACAAACATTATCCTCGGTGGTAAAACCGTAATCCAAGCAGAAGTCATCATCCGCGGCGATTTATTACGCACACTACCTCCCAGTACCCAGGGCGAGAAAGCGGGAAATGCAGTTGCGGTTGCGATTGGGAGGTATTGTTTTTTCAGTCGCGGGTGTGAGTTGAGACCGCCGGGGAAGATTTATAGAGGGTTTGTTATGGTTTTCTCATTGTTCTTCGTTTTTCTGGTGTTCTGTGTATCTTGGGAATTCTACTAACGAGATTTGGATAATAGAACATTCTCGTACTTTCCCCTCAAAATCGGCGACCATGTTTTCGTAGGACCCGGCTCGATAATCGAAGCTGCGATGTTGGGGAATCATGTTAATATTGGTGCGAATGTTGTGGTGGGGAAGTTTGTAATAGTGAAGGATTTTGTGAAGATTCTGGAGGGGACGGTTGTTCCGCCGAATATGGTGATACCTAGTTTTAGTGTGGTGGGAGGGTGTCCGGGGAGGGTTGTGGGGAGGTGGCGGAGGGGGAGATTGAGGGGATGGATTTGAGGGAGATTTATAGGGCGGTGAGGAATTAGAGGATTGGGTGGAGTTGGATGGGGAGGCTGAGAGATGAGATGAGGAGTGATGGCATGAATGATTACACGATTGTAGAATTGCAACAGAGATGAATAAGGGATAACGGCCTCGAGAGCCGGATCAAACCGGCAAAATTCGACATAGATGAGAGAACAATGATACCCAAGTACTTGCGCACATTCATAGAAATGGCCAGTGATTTTACGTGCGAAGGTCTTCTCATTCTTGATCTCCAGTCTTCTATTGTATACCGTCCGTCATGATAACATCTTGTTATTTCCTCACACTGATCTACATCTTGGATGTTGTTTGTCAAGAGCGCTCTGTTCTTCGGGGTGACTAGTTCTCGAACTGAACATTTACAGTGGCATGTGCCATAACTCTTTGGCAAGCTCTACTTTATTGAGTTTGACTGTACTATTTTCAGTTGGGATTTTGTGATGGGATGATAATGCTCCATAATGGTCAAAGTAGCTGGACAGATTTGGTAGTGCATTCAGTCATCATACAACTACTTGAGAGTTGAAGTTTTGAATGCAAGTTCTAACTTGTTTCAAAATGCTCAATGTATATGAAAAGGTTGACAGGGTCCATGCTCTCGATCAGCATTAGTTGAGTTGAGCTAGAGTATTAGGATGATGTAAGGCTTCAGGCTGGTGATGGCGACGATTTATTCATCGTCATCGATCCTGCCTCCCTGCAGAGATTGAATATATCCCTCTGAATGAGAGCTAGACGAGACTGTTATGTTTCACACACCCCGTAATTCCTTCGAGCACAATCAGCGTCGGCAGATCAATTGTGATATCTCAATTTTCGACGTGCAAGCGGAAAGACGATACGTTTGAGGCTGGGAATTTCAGCTAACTCGAGTCTGATAACAAGATAAAAATCCATGGGTTTGTGTGCGTGGTATGAAAGCAAAGACGGCATAATATGGCTGGATCCGGCCAAATGGTTAGACGGCGTATGTTTTGGTCTTTCGAGCTCTTATAATGAATCTTTTTGGTTGTGAGTCTAGGTTGCCTCGATGGTTCTTGGTTTCTGGGGTCTTTGTTTTTCCAATGACTTCTTGCCTTCTGACACAATACTGGCCACAGATCTGTCTTTGTTTGATCAATATTAAGTCGAAAAGTACTTATCTTTTTAGAGGCTGAAAATCTTCCCGGTAAAGAAGAAGTCAAGCATGCGGCTTAAAGACGCTACCGGAGACAGGTGGTCGCGCTGGCCTAAGCTGTAGCATTCATGGAATCGAAGGTTCTAAGTTGGTCCGGCTACCTCACCATGATACGTCTTGAAAGTGATAGGACGCTCTACATAAGCAAATTTGTCACCCATGTACAGCTGGAATTTTCTCACGATGGGGAATCTCCGTTCAAGTCCGGATGGAATTAAACCCTACGGTGATAGTTTGCTCGAGATTTGTTCTTGCCCCAATCCAGATGGAATCTAAAAGGAGGTATTGTGCAGAGGTATAACGGTGAAGGACTGGTTTCAGCACAAGAAGCTCAGTATGGGTGTGATACCATCATTCATCTTTAGATCATACCAAGTGCCACACTTTGCGGAAGTGAATAAATATATCTGTGTTTGGTTTCGCTCTTTCCGTCTAGCTCTCAGATACTTCGAGCTTCGAGGCATTGTGTGTAGTCAAATCGAACTGAATAAAGAAGTCGAGGGTATAGATAGGAACAATTAGGTGAGGTATTAGACAATCTAGTCCAATACAAACGCGCAAGTCCGCACTTCTCCACCATGATACTGCGTGAAAAATAGTTGCCATATTATCCCCACAACCGTTCAAGACATGACTTTCACCTCGACTCTTATTTCCTAGATCTCAAACATGATGTTCAGGGTCAAAACCTAAATCCCCTCCAATTCTCTTTCGCGCCAATATTGACTCCATTATTGGGATTGACCACGATATCATCTCAATATCCAAATAAATGCCTTTCTTCAAATGCGATATTGTCTCTGAACAAATTCCGGGTGCAGATTCCGTACTACTACCAGTACCACCATGCCACTCGCTTACGCCCCTTCATCAATGGACCTAGGTACAAAATGATTGATTGATATTGCAAACTTTGCATCTCTGTTCAGACCCATCTAAAGTTCATCAAAAGAATTATCCCCGCATTTTCCAGTAAGAAAAGACATGTCTTCCTCTCTCGATTTCATCCACAATCCACAATTCAAACCTTAAATTCACAAACCTCTTCTTTCTTACGAGTCCTTCCTAGGCACAATCTTCTCTTCAAATAAGCACCTCCATCTTTCTATCCTTTCTAAGCACATCCAATCACATCCACAATAAATCAGCTACCAAATCCCCTCATTTATCCCGCAAATCAACAATAAAGATCTATCACCACCCACCCACCCACCCACCAACTCAATCTCATCCCCGCCTCCATCACAAACTCAAATAATCCCTTCATCCCATCCCTCCCCTAGCCCTCCACACCAAATAAAATAAATCCATGATCCATCCCTCGTCCACCCCACTTCATCACACCCTTTGAACCCTGAAAATAGACACCAACTCCCATGATTTTTATCACGTCATGCCCCCACTCCCATTCTCCACTATCATACTCCACCCCACTCCACTCCTCCATGATTACGAATCTCTCAGTACAACAGACAACTTGATGGCCCTCAGCACGTCATTACTCCAGTCTCTAATCTGGACCCTTTGATGCGTTGGTGTTAAACGGAAATGGTTGCAGGTAGAGGGTCTCAGGATTGACATCATCATAAGAAACTAATTTTCACACAAACAACCGGCAATGCAGATTTCACATGACAACAAATAGTCAACACAGAGTTTCTGAGTCCAAGATTTTGCCCGATTCAATTGATCCCATCTCCCTATCACTACAACGAATTTTCCTTCCCCTTCCTTTTCTCATGCCGTGGTATCATCCATCCCCCATTACAATCCTTTGTCCCCCACCTATTTTCCCTTGAAACAAAAAAGCAAGTCTAAGTAGAGCCGATCTAAATCTCATCTTTTTCTCATCTATTGCATTCCATCCCAAAATGAATGAGTGAAGTATACGTATAAACTCCAGTCGTGAAAAAAGAAGAAAAAGAAAATAATGACAACTCCCATCTAATCCCTTCGCTTGCCCGTTAAAAGAATGTAATGATTGCGCCTTCCCTTCATTTACCGCATATAGGCCTGGCAACCAGCGACCCCCAAACACCGACGCTTGCTACCTAGCTCCTAGCTTCCTTCAAGTACTAACACGATGTTCTGTCCACCCATCGCATTTACAAAACCAAACGAATGAACTTTTGCATGTACATATATATGAGTGTGGCGTATCCCTCTCTTCCCTCTAAACTCCATCTATAAAACCCTGTACACAATAAACCCATCTAAAAACTAAACAATCCACTTCTCCTCTTTCCGAACGGATAAACAATTAACGCACTCAGAAAAGACCAACAGTGATCCCAATAGCCACTTGAATCATGCTGTAACCAACATTAAACACAATAGTATTTAAATCTTCAGTACTCCCAACACTAACGGAACTTGTTCCATTGACCTTAGTCGTTCCATTGGAATACGACGTACTATTTGTAATAGAATCTGCTGTACTCAAACCTGCAAGTAAAGAACCACTAGCAGCGAGACCAGAAGGAACTTGTACGAAGATAGCAGGTAATAATGCAGCAGCTGCTACACCATGTCTGACTCTCGAGTATAAGTTACCGAGCACACCTACTGCGAGAGCGCCGAGAGTATTGGAAATTTGTGCACTCGAAGGGAATTTCTTTGCGGAGAAAAAATTGACAACATAGCCTGAGAATGAGATGCCTAGCATGACGGGCATTTGTTTGAATTTTGCTTGATTGATGACTGCGAGGCATAGAGTGAAGACTGGAACGAAACACCAGCGAACATATTGGTTCATTGGAGCGTCGCATGTAGTCTTACTGGTAGCGTTGGCATCCATAAGACCATAGACAGCGGTGCCGATAGTGATACCATATCCAAGGAAAAGAGAATAAATAATTGCGTAAACCATACGAACGGAACCGGCAACCATGGAACGTGATTGAAGTTCAAGGGAACCACAGAGAACCATATAACCGGGGAGAATTAGAGCGATGGACGACTGAGCGAGGGCAGAGAAACAAAAAAGATCACCTCCTCGAATCGAACCAAAAGCTCGGGCCAAGAAAGAAGTCAAGACGGCGGCTGATATTTCGAAGACATTGGCGTAGAGATCGGACTTGGGAGCAACGATGAGTTGTAAGAAACCAAGAAGAGACCCCAATAGAAATGCAATGGGTAAATCGATGAGACGTCCTTCGAAAGCAAATGGGGCTACACTGGCACTTGCAAAACCATATACCATAACCAAGAACCAAGGATGATACTTTGGCTTCGCATGAATGATCGCATCCAATCGTTGTGTGGCTTCCTCAACACCGATAACATCATGAACTACCTCCTTGTATATCTCATGAACATCTTTTAACTTGCCAAGATCGACTCCTTGTATAGATCTAACGAGCTTTACTTCGGTAGTGTGAGTCGATGCATCATCGAAAGAAATAATCATACAGCCAGGTATATAAAGGACTTGAGCATCAATCTCAAGAACCCTAGCTGTCATCTTCATATATTCTTCCAGGCGATGTGTTGGGGCTCCGTATGTCATTAATGCTCGACAAAGTTTCAATAGATACTTCTGTCTGCTTAAAGTTTCCGCGATATGGATAGTAATTCGAATTTCGTCCTCCAATCTTGGCTTTCCAGCCAATTGTCTAGCGGCTGTCTCAATAAGTCTGCCACTGTTTGTACGTTTTCCCATTCCAGGTCTTGGAACCTTCTTCTTGGGCGTATAGGTTCCTCCAACAGGCGCAGCTAACATAGCAGATGCTTCCATAAGACCAGCGAGAGTATCTTGAGATTGACTCTTTTGATGGTACCATTTTGCATTCTT